AGGTTTGTTCTTAAGTTGAATCTGTATGTAAGTCGGAACTGGCGTCCAGATTCAGACACTGCTGAAACTGACCGCCAGTTCTGACTTACATACAGAATCAACTTAAGAACCCCAGGCGTCCCCAAGTCAGCTGCTGCTGAAACTGATCAGCAGCTGATTCCAGGAAGCCCGGGGCAGAGCAACTCTGCTTCGGGCTTCCTGTAGTCAGCGCTGGTCAGTTTCAGCAGCGGCTGAATCTGGACGCCAGTTCCAACTTACATACAGATTCAACTTAAGAACAAACCTACAGTCCCTATCTTGTACGTAACCCGGGGACTGCCTGTACTAGTTTTGTTCATATATTATAACAGGGTTTTTTAAAGGTTCTGCTTACCTTCAGCTAGTTTTAATGTTTTTTAAAAAAGGCTAGTGAAAAATTAAGAGGTAAAGGTGGAGTTACTACCATTTTTCTCTTATATTTAATTGCAATGTCTCCTCAATTAGAGGTTAACTTCTGCCCCCAGAAATTGAGATTATTGTTGTTGGAGTTTTTAAGAGCTACTTTGAAAATGTTATTATATTGTGGTAGCACTTATAGGATCCAGTCATCAATCAGGAGCCCTTTTGCTAAATGTAAACTGAATGAAAAAGATGGTCCATGCTCCCAAACTCTAGATTTCATTGGCAATCTGATTTGCAACTGAGAGAGGCTGCACATGACTAGTCTTGAAATTAAATCAAATTAGATGCCCTCATGAGATGTTTGGGCGGTTGGTTTTAGTTTCTAATCAGTCCCACATTTTATTTACATTACAATATAATGGATCCTTTCCCTGGTGTGTTGATTAGGCTGGATGTGGGGGGGATTTGGGGTGCCATAGGTAGGAAGATTTTAGGCAGTGATGGATTTGACACTGGCCAAAGGGCCCCAGCCAAGAGGGGGAAATGAGCGCCCCCATGCTTCTACCCACTCTGCCTGCCTACTACTCCTGTGGTAGAAATGGGAGCCCAGTGCCCTGACCCGCTCCCCGGCAGCACT